TTCTTTCAAGCTTAAAAAGTTGCCATCACTTTTGCTCATCTTAGCAGAATTGAGCAGCAGATGGCCATTAGCTCGAATGCTCTTTGGCCACTTCGAGGCATCTTCCAGCCAGATGGCACAATGATTGTAAATGAAATAAGTCAAATGATTTTGAACCAAATCTTTGCCAGATGCACGCATATCAACTGGATACCTGCATTCAAAATTACATTAGTCATCTTGAGAATGGTTGACAAACGGTCAAAAATTACCAAAACTCAAATTCTCTTTTCATAGTGTCCAACAATTCCTTCTTGATTCCGCAGTTGGCAGGATATTTGGAGTTTTTAAAGAAAATGTAGTCCCATACTGCGGGAGTCATTTGTTCTGCTTTAATTCCCAAAGCATTGGGCTTGTCACCCCTGAATGAATTTCCCTACAAAAATGAGGAAAACATGTAAAACAAATAAATACGTTACTTATAATSTCGCAAAAGTTACGCATACTGAAGTCTGTTGGCCACATTTCCTTTTTTTTKGTACTTTTRAAAATACGCTTCTTCAATGGACGAAGATTTTTAAGAGGCGGACTTAAATTTGAGTATTTACCTATGATCTCTGAATTTTTAGACATTTGCAATAATTTTGCTGCTCTTATGCATGAAAATTACTCTAAATTCTAACAGGGCACTTCATTTGTCATAGTTTTCCTTTTCACTGGTAGTTGCCTTCACCCAGTTTCAAGTTATGAGAGTTTGGGAATTTTTTCAGTGGCGATCTTCTTGTTATCCAATTCTCAATGTTAAAATCGATATAAAAATTCTTTAAGCTCAACTATTTTTCTTGAGATATCTAACTGCTTTAAATATTTTTCAATTTTTATATAAATTTTATACTTCTTAACTTTTATTGTTATTGTCCAGTTCTGAGACTTTGAACTGTATTCTGAATCTGGGATGTATGAAATATTTTTATTGTCGCTCTTATTTCACTAGAATATATTTATCTTGTTTGCACGTAAAAAATATGGGCATTATGTTAGGTTACACACGAAACTTACTGATTTTTGTCACAGTTTACAAATTATTAGAATTTTTTTCACTTCACACTTTGAAGTCCAATAAACTTTCCCAGGTGGGCAAACATGCTATGAACCACAGATCCATTTATTTGCCAGTTGTTTTTTGCTACCGTACATAAATCAAATGCTTTTACCTGTAGAAGATGAGCCACAGTGTAATAAGCATTGTAAATGGTAGAGTCTGACAACGATTCAATTAGCCAGTTTTCATCCCAAGGCAATTTGGTACCCAAACCATACGTTCTTGAACAAGCATGTTCACGCAACCAGTTCACGCATCCAACAAAGTTTCTTTTCACCTCATCATGATAAGTTTCGATGGAGTCCAAAGCATTTAGAACCTGCAAAATAGCACAAATATTTTCAAAACGAAAGCTCATTGTTCTGCACCGTTGATCGCACCTGCTTCTTCCAGGTTTCCTCCCCATAATCTAAGTACCATTGATCGCATAGAGCAACTACGCACTCATCGCCCGATCGGGAAATTATGGTTTTTTCCGGTTCGTAATAGATGATAGCCTCATTCTTGTCGACCAGCACTTTTTGAAGAGATTTCTTTACATCTTGAATTTTCATGCCTTTGAAGTCGCCCACCAACATGACCTAAGCAGAGAATATCGTAGCATAATTGAACCGGGAAGTGTATTAACGCCTACCCCATCATAAAATCCTTTCAAGTACACCATCTCTTTGGCTTGAGTCAACTTTTCCTTATCATTTTGGCTCTGGATCTTCAACTTTTCGTACACTGTAACGGCAGACAAGTTTCCAAATTCGGGAACTTCGATAATTGGAACTGGGTCATAGGGAAGGACCATTTCGTCCTTAATGCCATACTTTTCTCGAAATGCCTTGTGTGAAAACAACAATGAACACGAGACTGGTTTTGGTTGTTTTCGCCACTTACCTCTTTCTTTTTTAAGTCGGTTAAAGCAGCATAGTCATCTGGGGAATCTGAAGGTACACTGGTAACCACACCGGTACCTTTATTATCCTTGATAGTCAGCATGGGCAAGGCATAGATTTTGTCGAAACCTGCCATGGGGGCTTTTAGAGCGCAGCCCAACAGATCCTTAAAATTGCG